CTGAGACAAGAGAATTGCTTGGATCTGAAAGGCAGAGGTTGCAATGAGCCAAGATCGCACCACTACACTCCACTCTGCGTGATGGTGAGACTCTGTCTCAAAAAAAAATAAAATAAAATAAAAATAAATAAATGAATAAAGTATCCTCTGAGCATGCTGAAATAGGAAGTTTCATCATTACAGTTTCTTTTGCTTTAGAATATTACTTATCCAGGAGAAGCCATAATTTCTCTGAGACTCAGTTTTCTTATCTCTAAAGTGAGAAAAGTAACATCTATTTCACAGAGTAGGGATTAAATAATACAGTATACACTGTATCTTTGTTAAATAGATGTTTAAAAGTACAAGACCTTTTAAACACTTAGTGCCTGCTGTCTGAAAGGCATTACAAAACTACTACAGAGAGGGATAACATTTGTTCACATCAGTTACACCTTTGTACATTTTAGATCTCTCTAGAGGAGGATGCTTCCCATGAAAAACTCTCAAAGATATTAATTTAGCTAACAGATTTCTACACTGTGTTTAGTGTTCAGGAAGTACCCTGAAAATCACTTTTACTTTACTTTGACTTCGATAGGAAGATAGTTCATGACACCCTCAAAGTAAGTTTATAAAATAAAAAGAAACTTCTCAGGCCTGCCTTTCTCAGGTTTGAGTTTTTACAGTTTGTACACAATGATTTTTCAATAAAATAAGCAAATGATTAAAAGTTTTATGTTAACCAGTACAACTTTTAGTTATCAGTTACTTCTACATAACCATTATAATATTTACTGCTGTGAACAATACAGACTTCAAAGCACATGAAATTGAAAAAGCAAAGCATCTTTACTCTCTTCATAGAGAACAGAAAAAAATATTAAACTTTTAAGCATTAGGAAACATTTTATTGAATAAAATGTTAGTAAGTCAGCAACTGAATAATTTGTTTTGAAACTTTAACTCGTAATCTGGCTAATAAGCACTTATTTACAAAGTATTCTACATTGTAAAGGAGACATTAATATTTCTGGTGTTGTCCTTCTTTGATTTAGAAGGTATAATCTGCAGGACCTCATTGGCCACTGATGTGAGCGTGAGGAAGAAGAAACCACATCGCAGGGGGAAAGGGCTAAAGCAAAGCGGAGGCTTTAATATCAGGTCAATATGTCAGCACACTACCCAGATGAAATGGCTTTGGCTGGGTTCCGAGGTCAAGTAAATAAGTTCATTTTTTTTCATTCCTTCAATTATATATTGTTTTGTTGAGCTTTGGTCATGCATGGTAAAATGCATGTAATTTGCTGAGCGAAGTGCCAGATGCGAAATAAATGTTAGCTACGGTAGAAGTGCTACAGTAACAGGTAACTTGAAACAGGCTGAGAGCTCACAGAAGGGCGTGCTTGAATCTGGAAAACAAAATTGTTTAAATGGAATGCAAAACACTTTATACATTGCTTTTACAAAAGTTACATCAATTTAAAGGAAAGGTTTTCAAAAACAATCTGTGATCGACAAAATTACAGAAAAGAATCTGGAAAAGGGGAGTGAAGGAAAAAGGGAAGATGAGCAAAACAATTTTATGCCCAGGTAAATAAGATTGACTTTTAACCAATGAGATCACAAGTTTGAAAATTTCTTCCTTTCAGGCCCAATCAAGAGGAAGCTATGTCTATAAATAGGACTGCCTTAGCTCTCATGTCAATGAGACAGTGTGGCCCATACTAAGCAGACTGCCCGTAAGTCGACCGGCGGCAAGGCCCCGAGGAAGCAGCTGGCCACCAAGGCGGCCCGCAAGAGCGCGCCGGCCACGGGCGGGGTGAAGAAGCCGCACCGCTACCGTCCGGGCACCGTGGCCCTGCGCGAGATCAGGCGCTACCAAAAGTCCACGGAGCTGCTGATCCGCAAGCTGCCGTTCCAGCGGCTGGTGCGCGAGATCGCGCAGGACTTTAAGACGGACCTGCGCTTCCAGAGCTCGGCCGTGATGGCGCTGCAGGAGGCCAGCGAGGCCTACCTGGTGGGGCTGTTCGAAGACACGAACCTGTGCGCCATCCACGCCAAGCGCGTGACCATCATGCCCAAGGACATCCAGCTGGCCCGCCGCATCCGCGGGGCGCGGGCCTAAAGCGTGTTAAGTGGTGGATCTAAAGGCTCTTTTTAGAGCCACTGCCGTTTTCATCAAGAGCAGCTGTACCGGCTCTCCAGCTGACGTGGTCTGCCTTGCTCACCGGTCGGAGGCCAGGGTCACTCGCAGTGGTGGGTGGGGTTACAAAACCTCCAAAGCCCAGGTGTGAGCTGGCTGGCGGTAGAGAAAGCCGCAGAGGCATGGTCCTTGTGGTTCCTGCCGAGACTTAAGGCTAGAGCTCCGGTTCCCAATTCTGTGGGGAAAGTTGTGCATAGGGGCAAGAGACAATGTGCTGAGTCCGGAAATGGGGACGATCTGACTAGGGGCGGGGCGAGTCCCTTAAAAATTAAACTTGCTTCCGGGTTTATTTAGGAACTGTATAAGCAATTAAAGCTCAGCGTCTTCATTGCGTACTACAGGCGGTGCCCAAGCCAGAATAGTAATTTAAGTTGGGGGCGGGAGTAAACACCTAGCGATTTAAAAAAAGTGGGCTGAGGTAATGTTCCAAGAACCGAGAACAAAATTTCTGCAGAGTATAGAATAAAAATGCAAAAACAAGGTAAGAGTTATCTTTAGCTGGCGTTAAGGTTTCTTTTATAAGCAACTCTGCCAAGGAAAGAAAACCAAGAAAAAAGCCCGAGGCGGTCGAAACTATCTCCACCTAGCTTAAAACCCGCTAGTGTGAAATGGACCATTCTGATTGGATAACAAGACTTTTCTTCTAGCGACCACTAAGGAAACACGACCAGAATCCATTATTTACATAGACTCCACCCCCTCTGACGACACCGTTGTAAATTAACCAATAAAAATGCAGCACTGTGCGAGTCTTCATTTGCATACAAGCTCTATAAGTAGCGCACAACCAGCCCCTTTTGCCGTAGTCGGGATTACTTCTTTCAGTTTCTGTTGCTTCTTCGCGCGAAAATGCCGGATCCAGCAAAATCCGCCCCTGCTCCGAAAAAGGGCTCTAAAAAGGCTGTTACGAAAGTGCAGAAGAAGGACGGCAAGAAGCGCAAGCGGAGCCGCAAGGAGAGCTACTCCGTGTACGTGTACAAGGTGCTGAAGCAGGTCCACCCCGACACCGGCATCTCGTCGAAAGCCATGGGCATCATGAACTCCTTCGTCAACGACATCTTCGAGCGCATCGCGGGGGAGGCGTCCCGCCTGGCGCACTACAACAAGCGCTCCACCATCACGTCCCGCGAGATCCAGACGGCCGTGCGCCTGCTGCTGCCCGGCGAGCTGGCCAAGCACGCCGTGTCCGAGGGCACCAAGGCGGTCACCAAGTACACCAGCTCGAAGTAAGGGTGTGCAAAGGACGCAACAGATCAACCACCTTACCCCAAAGGCTCTTTTCAGAGCCACTTCAGTAATTAAGAAAAGGGCTGTAAACATTTGGCAGAGCGTTGGATAGCTTTTGGTCTGGGAGGGAGGGTGACCAAGGTTGGATGCGTTCGGGTTTAGGACTGAGGAGTTCCCTGTAGTCTAGTAATGCGTTGCCACTCGGTCACCCTCGCCCAGTCTTACCGAGTCGCCTGTTACTTGTATTATGAGACTAGGAAGTAGGCTTGACCACGGTTCTGGGATGTTTTTGATTGATGGGGGCTCCCCACCCCTTCAACCTTGTACTTAACGTCTCCACGGTCGTTTTATTTTTTCTGAAAGCAATGAAGAAGCTGAGATTTCTTATACAGATGAGAAATCTTTCAGTCCAACCTCTCACTACTTGCTGTTTCTCAGTGTTTTAACCTGTTTTCCTTACCGTATACCTCCAAGCGTGTGTCACAAGCTTTGTGTAATATAGCCGTGTGCTTTCGTCCCTTAGCTTCTCTGCAAGTCCTGACTTGGCCATCCTCTCCTAAGTTCCATTTCTGTGGGGACTTCAATAGGGGAGATACATTGCCACCGCCCCCACCCCCTGTGGAGTATTTGCCAATATCTAGAGATGTTTTTGGGTTGTCAGGTGGGCAAGGGGGGGGGTGCTACAAGTATCCAATGGGCAGAGGCCAGGAGTGCTGCTAGGCATAAGGCACAGGAGAGTCCTGTGGGGGGGGACAAAGAGCTACCTGGTCTATAATGTCCATCTTTGGCGATTAAGAGACCTCAGAGCCCAAGGCTTCCCTAATCATGATGTAATCTTCATTTCAGTCAAACTTTTCCTTAACCCTACCAGCACATGTTTTTGTTCTTGGTGGAAGGTGAGCACTCCATAGGCTGTTTACAAGTCCTTCTCCACAGGAAAATGCCTCCAGGGCAAGGACCTAGTCTTGGTTCTGTAACAAACTTCCCCAATTATAAGGATATAAGAATTACCTTTGTACTGGTTAAACCCGCTCCCAGGCGTTTCTCCTGAGGTTTCCCTATTCAGCTAGGCTGGAGGTGTGACCTGGAGAGGTGGTTGGCTTTTAATGTTCAGGAGTGTGGATGTTTTAATAGATGTTGAGTCCTCATGTTAATTGACCTGTTGGTGTGTCAGTCTTTCTGTCACAGATGTTCTGAGAAAGGAAATAGGATGAGTGGAGGGGATTGTGTAGAGAAGGCCACAGTTAATATGTAGGATGAATTTCTGAAGACCTCTCAGTTCGAAACTTGTGTAAGTTAAGACTCATCCTGACAAAAGCCAGTGGATGCTTCTTTTGCCAAATATACCCTTGGTGCAATTGGAAAATCTTAGTTTATAATTAACTTGACAACCTTTGAAATTAAGCCATTCTTGATAAATCTTGGGGGAATTTAATACAACTTTGTGCTTAAAGTGAATTTTACTGATTTTCATGATGCTGGAGTTCAAATGTATGTCGAATTAAAAGTTATATAAAATGTGATATACATGATTTCCTTTTTCTACTAGAAAATTAAGATTCCCAGTTTAGTCATCTTTTTCTGAGGATCACCAGACAAGAAGTCAGAGAAAGATAACTGAGAATCTAAAATTTCCAGTGGGAAAAAACTATATATAGCACATTTCTGGTTGGAAAGGTTACTCATTAAGTGAAAAGGCAGAGGTGGTCTATTTTCTATACAGATGGGCCATAAGAGTCTATCCAATCTCCTAGCTTAGGGTCCTGAAGTCAGGAGTTCCTTTTTTCCTGAGGATTAGGAACCATGTGTTTCAGGGTCTTTTGAAGTTGTTAAAGCATTGTCAACTGGCTTAACTACACAAATGCCATCATTACCCATTGACCAAAAGATTGACTTCCAACTCCTTATCCTGAAACTAAAGGCCATCGATTATCTAGCCAAAACTT